TATGTTCACCTGTATGAGAAATATGGCTTATTTTTCTACATCTGAATTTGAACTCCGGCATTAATCCTTCTTATACCAATTGCCAGAAACTTAATGTCTGTTAAATCAGGATCTGTTCTCTTTCCATACACCTTAGATCTGGGAAATATATGTTTCAATAGATCAAAGGAAACATCTAGCCCTTGGTGTAATTATCTAAGGTGGTGTCTATTGACATAGCCCCCTTACCATCTACTCTGGGTCATTGTTCATTACAGGTATAATCCATATTTTTACCTGTGGAAGCACCAAACTTATCTCCACAGCTCTTAAGAGCACTGAAAGCCTAGGCCTCCCCACTCTGTTGAGTAGGTATAAATCCCAGCAATATGATTTAGCTTCATCTACAAGGAAACACCCGCCTACTAGGTTTTCATTTCTTCCCTGTGCTCAAGACATTTTGAGATCTTGAGTGTCCCTTCAGTGCTCTTTGTTCTAGATTCCCAAATCTCTCTAGGGGTGGACTTGCCCTTTGTCCTAGACACAGTGGCTCTTGGGAATACACAGCACAGGCATCCTTCTTGGGGAAACATCACTAAGTTTCTTGCTTCCTTTCTTATTCTCCTCTCCCCATTCTCCCTAGGGGTGAGGTAATTCCAATTCTATTTCTGACACATAATTTTTCCTGGAGTCTGAGTCCTTGTGGACTTTGACTTTTTGAAACTCAAAGTCCAGTCTCTTGCAATTCAAAGTACAATATGTTTATTTGCAACTTCAAATCTATCCTCTATCATTCTTTTCTTTAGGTGGTGAATATTATTAATTAAATGGTATGAAAGATAAGGGGCAAAAAAATGAAAAAGAGAGGCATGAATCTCAATTATAATCTCAAATTTTCTTCCTACCATGCTGAATCGGGAAGTAACCAAAATAAAAATTGTGATACTAGGAAAATTATGTATTGTTTCTAAACCTCTATTTTTCCTTCTGTAAAATGTAGGATTGTTGTCAGGACTAACTCAGAATATTTATGTAAGAATGTGACTAAGTGTTCAATAAATGGCTATTATTCATCTTGGCCCTAAGTAGAAGTTTGGGTAAGCAAATCTTGTGGTGGTGTTTCTACAGCACTTTGTATTATTAATTCTAAAGTTAACAGTAAAACATATCAGCTAAGGCTTTGTCTCTGGTCATCAAAATGTGGAGGGTATAAAAATTTAAAGTGATTTAGAGGATTGGGGGGATATTAAAATCTTCTCCCCCTCAGGAAATTTCTTTTCTCTTTTTTCCTGCAAGCAGAACTCTGTGCCCTTACTTTCCTAGTGAAAGCAAATATAGAGAAAGGTCAAAGGCAGGAATTCCATTGTACTTGGAGAGCAACTAATTTTCTCTTCTTCCTCGAAGCTCCCCACACCAAACAAAAACAAAAACAACTCAGCATCTAATGCACTCATTATATTCTGCTGTCCTGTACTTCCCACTACTAATTTCTAAGATCATTATGTATAAGAATTGCAAGTTTTTGCTGTGAAAAAAGTAGCTTCTGTGTAAAGCTTCTGTGTTAATTTTTCTATGAACACACAGTAACTGTACATATTAATGGGACTCACTGTGATATTTCCATACATGATACTGCGTGCACAGATCAAATCCAATCTCTTGTTTTCCATACTCCACTCCCCTACTTGCTAGTAATCACTATTTTGCTTTCAAGTGAACTTTTTAAGCTTCCATTTAACAGAGAGAACATAGTGTACTTGTTTTTCTGTGTCTGGCTTATTTCACTTAACATAATGTCCCCCAGTTCCAGATTGCCTAAAAATATAACAAGGTTAGCAGGTGGGAGGCTCATCATCATTTTACCTTCTTGAATTTTTTTTAAAGAATTTTTTTTAAGTATTTATTTTTTAGTTGTAGTTGGACACAATACCTTTATTTTTATGTGGTGCTGAGGATCGAACCCAGGGCGTGCACATGCTAGGCAAGTGCTCTACCACTGAGCCACAACCCCGGCCCTTGAATTCTTTTTTTAAAAAAATTTGTTCTAAGTATTTATACATGACACATCATACTTAAATGGGGTATAACTTCTCATTCTTCTGGTTGTAGTTGATGGAGAATTACACCAGTCATGTAATCATACATGTACATAAGATAATAATGTCTGATTAATTCTACTATCCCTCCCTTCATTCTCCTCTGTCTAATCCAAAGTACCTCTATTCTTCTATACCTACCTCCAATTGTGAATTAGCATCTGTATATCAGAGAAAACATTCAGCTCTTGTTTCTTTGGGATTGACTTATTTCGCTTAGTAAGATGTTCTCTAGCTCAATCCATTTACTGGCTAATGCCATAATTTCATTCTTCTTTAAGGCTGAGTAATAGTCCATTGTGTATATATACCACATTTTCTTTATTCATTCATCTATTGAAGGGTACCTAGGTTGGTTCCATAGTTCAGCTAGAGTGATTGAGCTTCTATAAACATTGATGTGGCTGCATTACTGTAGTATGCTGATTTTAAGTTCTTTGGGCATAAACTGAGGAGTGGGATAGTTAGGTGAAATTGTGGATTCATTCCAAGTTTTTTGAGGAATCTCCATATTGCTTTCCATAGTGGTTGCACCAATTTGCAGTCCCACCAGCAATGTATGAGTGAACCTTTTCCCCCATGTGCTTGCCAACATTTATTGTTGCTTGTATTTTTGATAATTGTCATTCTGACTGGAGTGAGATGAAATCTCAGTTTTGATTTGCATTTCTGTAATTGCTAGAGATTTTGAACATTTTTTCATAATTTTTTGGATCAATTGTATTTCTTCTGTGAAGTGTCTGTTCAGTTCCTTAGCCCATTTATTGATTAGGTTATTTATGTTTTTGGTGTTAAGTTTTTGAGTTCTTTATATATCCTGGAGATTACTGCTCTATCTGAGGTGCATGTGGTAAAGATTTTTCTCCCATTCTGTAGGCTCTCTCTTCACATTATGATCGTTTCCTTTGCTGAGAAGAAGCTTATTAATTTGAATCCATCCCATTTATTGACTATTGATTTTATTTCTTGACCTTTATGGGTCTTGTTCAGAAATTCAATTCCTAGGCCAACATGGTGGAGGTTTGTTTTCACTTTTTATTCTATTAGGTGTAGGGTCTCTGTTCTAGTGCCTAAGTCCTTGATCCACTTTGTGTTGATTTTTGTGCAGGCTAAGAGATAGAGATTTAATTTCATTTTGCTACATATGGATTTCCAGTTTTCCCAGTACTATTTGTTGTAAGGGCTATCTTTTCTCCAATATGTGTTTTCAGTGCCTTTGTCTAGTATGAGATAACTGTATTTATGTGGATTTGTCTCTGTGCCTTCTATTGTGTACCATTTGGTCTATGCATCTGTTTTGGTGCCAATACTATGCCATTTTTGTTACTATGGCTCTGTAGTATAATTTAAGTTCTGGTATTGTGTTGCCTCCTGCTTCACTTTTCTTGCTAAGGATTGCTTTGGCTATTCTTATTTTTCCAAATGAATTTCATGACTGCTTTTTCTATTTCTATAAAGAATGCCATTGGGATTTTAATAGAAATTGTATTAAATCTGTATAACACTTTTGATAGTATGGCCTTTTTCACAAAGTTAATTCTGCCTATCCAAGAGCATGAGAGATCTTTCCATCTTCTAAGTTAGTCTTCTTCAATTTCTTTCTTTAGTTTCTGTAGTTTTCTTGTAGAGGTCTTTCACCTCTTTTATTAGGTTGATTTCCAAATATTTCATTTATAGATAGTATCATGATGTACAGAACTTTATTCTGGGTTTAACTACTTGTCCTTAAAATACCTGCTTTTGGACTCGGATGGTTGGTTGTGTGGTCCTATGTGATGGCTCAACTGCTGTCTTTATTACCAATTAAAAGAGAGAGCTGGCTTGACAGCAAGTAGGATCTCTTTACATATGATGGGATATGTGCTTCCAGCAGAAATTGATAGGTTCCTGCCCTCCTTTCAACCAGATCATCCAAACCTTATTTGATTATAATGAGCAGTAGGAAGGTGAAGCAAGAGATGTTTGAACTACCAATGCCATTTCTCCCCTTTCCCTGTTTCTAACAATGCAGAATATCTATTAGTGATGAAAGAAACCTTGAGGCCAGTCCTCTACTAGTACCAATGGAACTAAAATGTCTATAAGGAGGTCCTGTCTTTATGAAGTTTAAGAATGCAGAGATTTTAGGAGCTGCAAAAAGCAGTGGATAGGCGACCACTGAAATCGGTTTTATACATTTTAAAGCTCCATGATGGTGAAAGCCGAACAGGCGTTGAGCACGCGTCTTTATTCCAGGGGGCAGATTTTATTGGGAAGCCCTATGTGCATCAGAGTCACCTAGAAAACTCCCAGAAAGGGCTGGGGTTGTGGGTCAGCGGTAGATCCCTCGCCTAGCACTTGTGAGGCACTGAGTTCCATCCTCAGCACCACATGAAAATAAATTAAAATAATAAAAAAGAAAAGAACTTCCAGAAACACAAGTGTCCTCACTCCCCTCAGCGGGGGTTATGGCTTTCCAGCTGATTTCACTGTGCCCTCAGCTTTGGTAACTAGTACTCCATTTCTTCTTCCCGAGCGTCAGAAAAGCTGTTTTTTTTTTTTCCCCCTTCCCTAACTATTGTATCAGCATCAGCGCGGTGTTTAACACAAAGCAGAAATTCAGTAATCATTTCTTGAATGAACCCCATTTTACGGAAGATGCAACCGAGGCTCAAAGTGAAGGTCGCCCAAGTGGCGACTCTGGTCATCTTTCCACTGCAATTCGTAAGAAACGTTCACCTCGCCTTCAGGCTTCACGTTTAATAAGAGGCTGCAGTGAAAGTTCCAAAGGTCAAAGCTAGCTTTGCGCGGGTCAAATCCAGCTTAACTTCAGCAGGGAAGACACTGCTTTTCCCAGGCACTGGAAGCCTGGCTGCAGCAGTTAACCCGAGGCCCCGCCTCCGACGCGTGGTGGGCGGGGCGGCGAGCGCCTCTGGAGCCTCTGCGCTTCGGGCCGCAGCGCGCCTTTGCGCCTGCGCTAGGAGCGAGGGTACCCAGTCGAACTCAGAAATGGCGGCCTCCATGTTCTATAGCCGGCTTTTGGCCGCCGCCGCCCTTAGGAGCCACCGGCCCCGGACGGCGCTTCGGGCCGCCGCCCAGGTATTGCTGCCTAGACTGCTTTCACCTCAGGGGTCGACAGGAGAAAGGGCGAGGTGGGACTCGTGGCCCCTGTGGCCGGAATATGAGGGGACCTAGGGCCCGGTTCGGGGTCACTTCGCCGGCGATGACATTTCCTGGGTGCCCTGGCGGGCCCGTGGGCGGCTTGCCCGGGAGTGCTGCTAGCCAGGACTGCGAGCAGGCCCATGTTGGCGCCGCTGGTCTCCAGCCCTCGGTCGGCTAGGAGGTCCGGCTTCTGCTGCTCCCGTACTTTCTGAGGAGACTACGGGGGAGTGGGCGGGCTCGGAATGGAAGTGAAGGGGCCGGGGTAGTTTCTGCCGCCACCCCACGTTCCGGGCCGGCAGGCCGACGCCTCTGTGGCCCCTCTTTGGGTGGGGGGGGAATGCCCTTCAAGTGTACTCTGTGTCTCTGGGGAGCTGTCACAGGTAGGAAAGACTGAAGACGACCAGCAGTGACTGCCGAGTTGCCCTCCCCGAAGTATTGATGTTATTGTTCTGTTGGTTAGTAGAAGTTCAACAGTTGGGGAAGGAAAATAATCTTTTGAATCACTTAATTTCTGGACAGACTGTAACTTAGTAGCCACTTTTGTTGTTAAGTATTCATAGTGTGTCAGATAGTGTGCTACTAAGCGCATTAGCTTTTTCAGCAGCACTGAGAGAGAGAGTAAGACCTGCATCGTTGATACTGTGACTGTGGCTAAGAGAACAAGTAATTTGGGTCAGGTAACCTAGCAGGTAAGGTGAAAGCTGAGAACTTTTAATTTCAGACTGTCTTGTTCAGAAGCCAAAGTGCTTGAGTCTGCTCTAAAACAGAAGGAACATGAAATTGGCCTATTCTTTCCCATACTTAACACCAAGAACGATGGAAGAGTATGATTGTCTTATTGAACCACTTCCAGAGTATTAGGTTATTTTTTGAAAGAACTTTTCAGACATACCATGAATGAATAGACTTAGGCTTTTTTTTTTTTTTTTTTTTTTTCCCCCAAGGTATTTGTACTTTCAGTTTAGGGGTAGTGAGTTCTATGAGTTTGTTTCCTAATAGAAGTGATTTTTTTTTTTTTTAAATTTCTTTTTGGCCTCGAACTTTCTTAGAGTGCTGCCTAGTTTGTAGATAATAGGGATTTGGAGAACAAGTATGTTTTCATTTTAATCATAATCTTTGTCCTTTTGGAAATTCCTTTAAAAAAATCTTTGTTTCTCCATATGGTGATGCCTAATATATTGCCTTTATAACAGCTTTGCTTCGTTGCCACCCTGGCATTAAGATATTTAGCTTTAGAGTTTCCAAAGACATTGGTCTAAACTCTCGCTTTTTGAATGGGGACACAGAGTGCATAGTCCCAGGAGATGTGTTCAAGGTCACACATTGAGTTTAGCATTTCTCTTCAACATTTTGTGTAGTCCTCATTCTGTTTTTTTTTTTTTTTTTTGTATAATTGTTGAAATAGCCCATGTTATGAGCATATAATTAAGAGATTTTCTTGAATTTGACCAGGAATTGTTAACCTTTTGGCAGTGGGATTTTTTTTTAAGTTTTATTTTCTATTTAGTTGGCACATAATTTTATATATTTTTGGGGTTTAGTGTGATGTTTGAATATATATATATATATATATATATATATATATTTTTTTTTTTTTTTTTTTCAATATAAGTCTACCAGGGTAAGTAGCATATCCATTTTTCATTTCTTTGTGGTAAGAACATTAAAAAATCCTCTCTTCTAGCTGTTTTAAAATAAATAATACATTGTTGTTAATCACAATCACCCTGCTGTGTGATAGTCATTAGAACATACTCCTGCTGTCTAATTGTAACTTTGTATTGGTTGAGCAACCTCTTCTTTCTGGGGGCAGGAATCTTTTCTTCTGATCCATTTAGATAATTAGGTGCAACCAGTAACTTATCTACTACTGACATAGTGTTCTGTATATATTACTATTGTTTATTTACGTATCTGTGAACTCTATGGCTGGGACCAACTTGGCCTTGGTTTTTAGCACACTTTCTGTTATACTGATATTCAAAAACTATTTGAGTGTATGATCATTTTCGCCAGGCTTACACTAAGTACTCACTTGCTGCCCCCTGCCCCTGCCTCTTTAACCACAATCCAGATCAAGATATATAATGTTTTCAGCTCAGAAAACTTCTAGGTTCCCTCTCTTTATCAATATTCTCCTACAGAAGGTCACCACTAATTATGACTTCTACCATCATAGATTATTATTGACTGATTTTGAACTATATAAAAAGAAATATATAGGAGTGTATTTTTGTGTCTGGCATCTTTCCTTCAACATTATGTTTGTGTGATTAATCTACTGATAGATGAGCAATAGTTCTTTTTTTGTTGTTTGTTTATTGCTCTTTAGTATCCTATTATATGAATGTAACACAAACTATCCATTCCCTTGTTGATGGACAGTCAGGTCATTTACCTTTTGTCTGTTTCGTAAAAGCTTACTATGGTCATTCTTATATATGTCTGTTGGTAGACATCTGTCTCATTTCTGGTGATACATACCCTGGAATGAAATTTCTGGGTCAGAAGATAGATGTTCAGAAAAGCTTGGGAGGTTGCTAACTTTTAATATTGAAGTGACAGTGTCAAGGAATTGAGTTCTCCAGCTGAAATGTTAGTCAGGATTTTAGCATACCAAATGAATCATAAATGAGCTACTATATACTGTAGGGTCCTTAAGAATCAACTGAGTGAATTGTTACTAATGTAGGTTTCCTTAGGCCCAGTTCAGAGATTCTAATTTTTTAGATGAGGCCTGGGCCCAGGAATCTGCATTTTTAGAAACAGATTTAATTTTGATGCCATGGATCATGATCCTACTCTAAGAAACAGACTTTTTATTAGACTCCTTTAAATTCAATTCTTGTGATATTGTGTGTTTCATATGAACCATGTTTCAGTATATTGCATTCTGTGTGGACATAATGAAAGTATGTGGCTAAACCTTAAAGTGATTCCACTGTAGTCATCTTGTATAGTACTTAATTTGTTCTGTATATTGCTTTGCAAAGGTGATAGGATTGAGTAGTTTGAAAAAAGAATGAAGGTGTTTCAACATGTTATATGATATGTTAAGCCTGGGCTGTACCTTGGTGGAGACTTTGGGACGAATAGATGATGGAGATCTTGCTGATGGTCATCCTTCTGTAGGTTTTCCATGTTGTGGCCCTGATATGGGAAACTGAAAGTCTAACCCTCATATTCCTTTTTCTTTAGGCAGTAAGATAAACTATTTCCTACTTCATTTTGTAAGAGTAATTCTGACTCACCTATACTCAGGGAAATATTAGTTTTCTTTTCCCTGTGTAAAACAGCACTCCCTCATCTTTGTTTTCTTTTTACTGTCTCTTACTGCCATCTGGCATAATGTTTATTTATGGTCTGTCCCTGTCCCTAGTGTTCTAAATGAACACACTAGAATGTAAATCTTAAGGGATAGAGTTATATAGTTTGGTTTACTGCTCTATTTCTAGTATCTAGATGCTCAATAAATATTTGATATGATGAATGCATATGCAATCAATAGATTGAAAAGCAAAGAGTTTTTACTTGGCCTTCTTGGAAGCTTTTCTACTCCAATTGTGAAGGACAAACACCTGGACTGGTCTTGTAAAAGAGGTACTAGGTAAGGGATAATTTGGAAGGATACCTTGTTGCAGATTGGTGCTGAGCTTTGAAGGCTGAGGTAGAGAGTTGTGTGGAAGAAATTTATTGGAAAGTGGTCCCTGAATCAAAACCTCTTGGAGAGTGAAGACAGAAGAATTGACTAGTGGGAGTAGAATTGTGCTGCAGTTGTAATAGACCTGCCATTCCTGTGGGAGATTTGAAACCAGGATGGCTATTCTAAATTGTCCCTAGTTGGAATGAGGTGCCAGGTCTTTATATTCCTCCCTCTACTCCTATTGATGTCAGTGTATGCAAGCTGCCATTAGGAAGGAGGTGTGATTTTGGCCAAAGAGTTGCCAGTGAGAGGACTTACCTTAGAGCTGTCAGCAGTCAGCTATGGCTATAAGTGCCTAGTCCTGAAGGAGGGATCTGGGCAGCACACCACAGTATGCACTACAGGTGATGCCAAGGTTTCTGAGTCTTTGAGTGTTTGAAAAGTGATCGTACCAAATCATTCAGTCATTACATATTTAGTGCCAGATGATTTGTTAGGTGCTGGAGAAATAGTAGAGGGAAGTTGGGAAGGATTTTTTGGTTTGGTGTAAAAGGTGAAATTGTTGTTAGATCTGCTGAATTTGCCATTCAGGTTAAAAGTACCAGTCATTAGAGATGATAGTAAAGCTCAAATGTAAGATAAGAACTTGAGATAATAAGGAAATAGTTAAAACTGTAAGAATAATGTTTGATAATTAGCTAATAGATTAGCTTTCCGTTTTCTAGTTGATGATTTAATATAACAGTTTTATTATGTTTATGAAGAACCAAGTACTCTATATACACAAAGTATTTCAAAAAGTGTTTCTAACAATAACTGCCAAGTCATTGTCATATATAATATGTTCCTAATTTCTCTAGGTTCTGGGAAGTTCTGGATTGTTTAATAACCATGGACTCCAAATACAGCAGCAACAGCAAAGGAATCTCTCATTGCATGAATACATGAGTATGGAATTGTTGCAAGAAGCTGGTGTCTCCGTTCCCAAAGGATATGTGGCAAAGTCATCAGATGAAGCTTATGCAATTGCCAAAAAATTAGGTACTAAATTAAAAACAAACAAAAAACAAAACAAAACTTATGCCACCTTGACGTGGATTTTTTTTTTTTTTTCTTTTTTTGGTACCAGGGATTGAACCCAGGAGTGGCTTAACCATTGAGCCACATCCCTAGCCTTACTTATTTTTTATTTTGAGACAGGGTCTCACCAAGTTGGACCTCTTAGGACCTTGCTAATTCGTTGAGCCTTGCCTAAAACTTGTGATGCTCTTGCATCAGCCTCATGAGTTGCTGGGATTATGGGCATGTACCACCAATACTGGCCTTGATATGAAATTTTGATAAGATGTGAACTTTACTTTTGGTTTGATGACAACTTTTAGCTTTTATTTAAAAAATAAATTTCATTTACTTAAACGGTAGAGTTTCATATTACTTGAAATTCTAAAATTATTATGAAACAATTTTGAGCTCCTGTAGTGCTGGTGACTTAGGAGTCACTTCTGTTGGCATTAGGAAGTTGAAATCCTGTTTTTAGTTGGAATATAATTATGGGGAAAAATATTTTGTTTACTTTGTTGCATGAAGGATTGGTGGCTGTGATGATTTTCAGGGAAATGATGAAGGAAAAATCTTAGTTATTTATGTGGTTATAAAGAGAGGCCCCAGTACATTCCTCCTTGGGTCTCCCTAGGAGTGCAGTACCACTGAGCTACATCTCCAGCCCTGCCCTCCTTTTTAAAGTTTATTTTTTGTGGAGCTAGGTATTGAACACAGGGACTCATGTATGCTAGGCAAGTGCTCTACCACTGAACCACTTCCCAGCCCTTTTATTTTGAGCAGTGTCTGAAAAAGTTGCCCAGGCTGGCTTTAAGCTTGTGATTCTTCTGCCCCAGTTTCTGGGAAATATAGGCATGTACCACCATGCCTGGTTTCCTCCTTGTTTTTGATGTGAAAAACATGAACTCATGGGAGAAAAAAGTAGTTGAGCTCTAGAATGTAAGCTCCATGAGAGCAGGGTTTTTTTGTCTTATTCATTCACTGATATATATCAAAGTCTTAGAAGAATGCCTGACACTTAGGAAATCAGATATTAATATATATTAAATTAATTAAATATATGCTTATGTTTATTAGAAGATTCTTTTATTGATGACAGTAACTTTAATAACTTTGTTATTTTGAACTTGTATTAATCTCTTAAAAAGCCAATTTTTGACTTTAGAAAATAAGGTTGTTTACACTTAACATGAGAACATAATAATGAAATAATGTTCTAGTTATGCACTGCCTTTCATCCCACCTTATGTACACAGTTTAGCAAAATTAATCTCTCTTGTATACACATTTGATTAATATGGCTTTAAGTATGCTTTGGTTAAGACTTTGCTCTTATTAGTTTTTCAAGAAAGATACAGAAAATTTAAGAAATGTTTAAACTTTAAAGTTTTCATCTTGATTTGTATGTATTTGTTTCTTGAATGGGATTTTCTCTGAACAGTGAGGGCATATACAACTTCAGAAAATTATTACATAAGCTCTGTTTTTGAATGAGTTGTCCATGATTTCCTTGATTTGGAAGCATGATTTTTCTTTTATAGTGTTTTGTTGTGATTAATAATCACAAACCCTTTTATTCAGTTTAGAAACAAAGTTCTTTCTTCTTCAGTAAAAGCTTTAAGTTCATATTAATGTTAGTGAAATTTTTGTTAACTAAAGGTGACTTGTAGTTTGAATTTGTGTGTGGTTAATATTAATAGGACTTGGTTTATATATCATGAGGTCAGTAAAAACTTTCTCTATTTCCAAATCATTTATAATTGGTTTTCTTTAACTACTTTTCTGTATGTTTTACCTTTAGTCAAATTTTATTGTTCTGTCAGAAAAAATAATTTTTGTAAAAATTTGTTCATAAAAATGCACAGGATTTATTCTGATGCCAGTCTTTTGATTTATTTACTCTTTATAAAAACCTTTAATAATTCTTAGGTACAGAAGAAAGAACAGTTAATACATGCAGGATAAACTATAACTGAGTATTTCTGGCAAGTTCTCTGGGACCAGGATTTACAAGTAGTAAGGAACAGGAGCAGGTAGGAGCTCTGATTTTGAGCCCCTTGGAACAGGGGGATATCTTATTAATTGAGAAAGTGTGTTGTCACAAAATACTGTAAAAATGTTTATAGTATGGGTATGGGATTATTGAATAATGAAGACCATTAAATCTTTTTTTTTTTTGAGAATTTTTTAATATTTATTTTTTAGTTTTTGGTGGACACAACATCTTTATTTTTTATGTGGTGCTGAGGATCGAACCCAGCACCCCGCGCATGCCAGGCGAACGTGCTACTGCTTGAGCCACATCCCCAGCCCCCAGACCTTTAAATATTGAGGAACAGAAGTGCTGCTTTTTAAGAGACATATTTAGTAACTACTTTGAAGACATTGAGGACAGTTTGTATTTTTGGTGTGCCATTATTTATCAGAAGATACTCATTATGGGATCTAAATGTACAAGGGTGTGTATGGTTTTATCGATCTATATAGTAATTCCCAATGCTGATTTTTGGCCATTTCAGGATTATTTTGGCTTCTTAAGTTACTGCAAAACTGACGTAATGCTAATTCTCATTTATTAAAAACTTTTTTTTAACTTTTTTTATATATTTATTTTTTAGTTACAGTTGGACACAATATTTTTGTTTTATTTATTTATTTTTATGTGGTGTTGAGGATCAAACCCAGGGCCTCGCATGTGCTAGGTGAGTGCTCTGTTGCCGAGCCACAACCCCAGCCCGTATTAAAAACTTTTACCAAGAGTTCTAGTCATCAAAGGATATAATAGGGCATAAATGATTGCAGATTTGCCAAACCATTGCTTCCTTTCAGTCCTATAGGTGGTAGGAGATGCTGAGGTAGCATGGAGTCTGTGGCCACCAGATTCTACAAGAGGGCTTCTGAGATGGCCCCCCTTCCTCAGTATTTCCTACAAATTTTATCATTTTCTGTGTGTCTTATGATATAAAAAAGTTGGGAAGTATTGTCCTGCAGGAGGTTAGGAATGGAAGAATGGTTAGAAAGAATCTAATGCTAATTTTAAAAAGACATATATATGAGTCCACAAAATGTAAGTTGGTGAGCTTGAGGATTATTAAGAAGTTTCTGGAATTATTAGAGGGATTAATTGTTAAGCGCAGACAAATGAAGGACTTGTAATTTGGGGTCAGTTGTTAAGAGCAACTTACTATCACTTTCTCAAAGTTAATTGCTAGTTCACAGAAATAGGATTTCAGTAAAGCATTTGGCAGAGTTCTGAATTGACTATAGAAAGATAGTTTGGCTTCTGCTGTAATTAGAGTCTCTAGTTTAGTAAATGTGCAAATTAATGAATGTCAGCTTGGAGGGAGATTTTTAATGGCTTAATACAGAACTTTGCTTTCTTTTTTCTTTTCAGTATTTTGCTAGATGACTATATTATGAGGAATATTTAAAGAGTATGCAAAAGATTAAAGCTAAGATGGATAGTGAATATATTTTAAAGACAGTGTTGGGATCCAAAAAAGATCTTGGACCTTGTCTGACTAGAGCGTCGTGCCAAATCTGTAGTATAAGCAGAAGACTATAAGCTCTAGGAGGGCCGGTTAGGCCTCTCTTGCTCATTTTTTTTTTTTTACATTTCCAGCACAGTATCTGGTATGTACATGAATCTGTTGAATGAATTAATGGAGATGAATACAATATTTGTTTTTATTAGTTGTCCTCTGACTTCTAATCCTCCCCTTAACAATTGATGAGATTCTGTCATTAATTCTTATTTATTTTAGGCTTTTATTTAGCTATCAAGGGCTGTTTTATTTATTTTTTGCAGTGCTAGGGGTTGAACCTATGCTAGGTAAGCCCTCTACCTACCACTGAGCCACATTCCCCACCCACTGAAGGACTGTTTTAGAAGGAACTTTGAAGAACCATCTTTTGCCCCTAAAAACTTTATATTCCTAAATTTAAAAAATTGACATTTTTGATGAAGAGTTCTTTTGTCTTATAAAATGTTTATGAAAAAAGAGCTTCCTTACTCAACAGGTCAGTATGTTAAGTTCCCAGTTTAATGATTAAGAATGATTGAATTTAGTTCAGTTCACTGATTTATTGACCAGTTGCCATATTACATTTGTTTTTTTATTTTTCAGTATTGGGGGTTGAATATCCCCAGCCCTTTATATTTTTTATTTTTTGAGACAGGGCCTTGCTAAGTTACTTAAGGCCTCTCTAAGTTGCTGAGGCTAGTTTTGGACTTGGAATCTTCTGCCTCAGCCTTCCAAGTTGCTTATAGTCTTGTAAGCTTATAGTCTTCTAGTATACTACAGATTTGGCACTACTCTCTAGTCAGACAAGGTCCAGGATCTTTTTTTAGATCCCAATACTGTCTTTAAAATACTACAGGCATGTGCTGCCACATGTAAATGTGGCTATGTTACATTTACATTGTTTGTATTACAGTTATCTTCTTTGATGTAAGTGAATATTTTTAAAGTACTAGAAAATCAGGACTTGGCAGGTAACCAGCAACAGGTAAAATAAATAGTGCCTGTTCCCTTTTGGACATTATTTCTCTAATTTTCTGTAGCCCTTGAGACTACTAGTTGTCTTCTCAATAAGAAAGTTATTGTTGGTTTTAATGAAATTATTAAATTGCCTCTAATCTTTACCTAATATTGGATGTTGAAATACTTGTGAATGATAGAGAATGTGGCCTATTGAAAAGGTTGATCTTATCTAAACAAAATGCTTTTAATCACAATCCTGCTCTCATGGCAGGATTATGGGCCTCAAATTTTCAATTCTGAGTTTTTGTAAGAGCAGTGATGAGGTCTAGATTTACAAGAATTCTGTCCCATTTTTGTAATGTCCTGTCTGTCATATTTGTTCAGATTGTCTCAGGATAGCAAGTTTACATGTGAGAGACAGGGAGGCATTAAGAAAACATCTGAGTTTCAGTTTTGTACTTTTAATACCTTCCAAAGCACTAGCAGTTTGAAATGTTAAGGAGTGGTTAAATTATTTTCAATATATAGTACTTTAAGAAATGATTTGAGTGACTAATTTTTTAAAAGTCATGGATCTTTTAGATGATCAATGTTATACTTTTTGATTCAAGAAAATCTGTGTACATTGAATGCCTCATTTTTTGATATTATGACTAAATAAGACTATTAACATCTATTGCTGTGTATATTAAATAAAATACTGTGTCTTGCCTGTGGCTCCCTGCTTGATATCTAATAGGAGTGTTTTTCTTCTAGGTTCAAAAGATGTTGTAATAAAGGCACAGGTTTTAGCTGGTGGTAGAGGAAAAGGAACATTTGAAAGTGGCCTTAAAGGTGGAGTAAAGATAGTTTTCTCGTAAGTCATATATTTTTTTTTTAAAGAAAACTCATCATTATTAAAGATTGATTAACTTAGCTAATAAAAAACTGAGATTTAAATTTTAAATGAGATAGGTTTTGGCGGTGATGTCTCAATTGGAAGACAAAGGAATTTGAGTTATTTTTTTTATTTTAGTCCAGAAGAAGCAAAAGCTGTTTCCTCACAGATGATTGGGAAAAAATTGTTTACCAAGCAAACAGGAGAAAAGGGCAGAATATGCAATCAAGTTTTGGTCTGTGAGCGAAAGTATCCCAGGAGAGAATACTACTTTGCAATAACGATGGAAAGGTCATTTCAGGTGAGTAACTCTAGACATGACACAATTAGGACAAATTTATGACATTCATTTTCCAAAATTGAATATATGGGAAAGATTTTTAGATTTTTAAAGTATTATGCAATCAATGTGTATAGCAGCTCAATTCACAATAGCTAAACTATGGAACCAACCAAGGTGTCCTTTGATAGATGAATGGATAAAGAAAATGTGGTGTATATATTCAATGGAATATTATTCAGCTTTAAAGAAGAATGAAATTATGGCATTTGCCAGTAAATGGATGGAGTTGGAGAATATCATGCTAAGCAAAATAAGCAAATCCCGAAAACCGAAAGCCAAATGTTTTCTCTAATATGTGGATGCTAAGGTGGGGGGGCACTAGAGAAGAATAGTGTTACCTTAGATTAGGAAGAGGGAAGTGAAGGGAGGGGAGGGGAGAGGAAAGGATATGGGAATAGGAAAGATAGTAGAATGAAATAGACATTATTACTATATGAATATATGTGACTGCATAACCAATATGATTCTGCAACATGTACACTCAGAAAAATGATAAATTACATTCCGTCTATGTATAATATATCAAAGTGCATAAATGCATTTTACTGTCATATATAACTAAAATAAAAAATTAAAAAAAGAAATATCTTTACCAAAAATAAGTGTTATGCATGAATCCATTTGTTTATGTCATGAGCATAATATTTATGTTATTTTAAAAAACAGCATGATAAATGCTATAAAATTTGATATGTAATATTGTGATTAAAAACACTAAGCCAGGTGTGGTGGAACACGCCTGTAATCCCCAGAGGCTTGGGAGGCTGAGGCTGGAGGATTGCAAGTTCAAAGCCAACCTCAGCAACTTAGTGAGGGCCTAAGAACTTAGTGACACCCTGTCTCTATTAAATAAAGTTTTTTTTTTTTTTTTTTTTTAATTTTTTTAATTTTTTATTGTGGGTTGTTCAAAACATTACAAATTTCTTGACATATCATATTCCACACTTTGATTCAAGTGGGTTATGAACTCCCACCTTCACCCCATGTGACTCAATGGTTAAGTGCTGCTGGGTTCAATCCTTGGTACTTAAACTCTAGGAAAACCCGTGCTGTAATAAATATGGAATTTCCAAATTATTAATTCACTGAGATCAACTTACATCATCTCTGGATCAGCTTTGATTCTGAGATTTTGTTGACGGAATGTAATTTCTAGCAAAGAATCTAGTAAGGTGTATCTATGGCTTCATCTTTTTCTTTTTCCACCTCTTGGTATTTTTATATTTTGGTTTCTGTTTCACCACATGATTTGGTACTTGGTAAATCGAAGGTGACATTAAGTAGCAAACAGTATGGTTTTAAAGAACATGGCTATAGCCCTGCTATTTTTTCTTTATGGAGACTAAAATTCTAGCATTGGATATAGTCATCAAGCTCAATGAAAATCCTTTCTAGACCTGGTGTTTAGAGAGAGTATTAATAATCATTTTATACTATAATTATCTGCCTCCTTGAATGCATTCATCAGGTGTTATAAGCTGAATCTCTGTTAACTAGCTTTTCTTGGAAACAAACTGGGTACATATGAGGAAGTCTTCATAATTTGATGTAGAATATTACTATATTTAATTTAGAATAATAAATTTTGAAGGTCCTGAAAATAGTTTCTTATGTAAAAAAAAAAACAACTTTTTTTTTAAATAAAATATTGATGGGCCTTTATTTTATTCATTTATTTATATGTGGTGCTGAGGATCGAACCCAGTGCGTGCTCACACATGCTAGCCAAGTGCTCTACTACAGAGCCACAACACCAGCCCCCCAAAAAAACTTTTAAAAAATATTTTTTTAATCATTTTTTCCTAAACTTATCATATAACAGGCATCTTTCCTATACAATAAATACTGATGTTCATTATTAAATTTTTAAGTAGATTTTCTTTATTGTTATTAACACGTTAATTGTATATATAAATGGGATTCATTGGGATATTTTCATACATGTATAATTACGTATCTATCATGTCCATCTAAATTTCTTCTAAATTCCATCCCCTACACCAACTGATATCTTTCCTAGTCTCTATTCCCTAGTAATCCCTCTTCTACTTTCAGGTTGCCCTTTTTTTCCTTTTTTCCCCTCCAGTTTCTACATGTAAGAGAAAATGAGTTAACTTGTCTCACTGTGTCTGGCTTAGTTTGCTTTAACATGAAGTCCTTCAGTTCCATCCATTTTGTTGAAAATGACAGGATTTCATTCTTTGTCTTTATCCATTCATCTCTAGATAGGCATTTATTTCCAAATTATTGTCAATAGTGCCCCAGTAAACATGGGTATGTAGGTGTCTTTTTTTTTTTACACTGAGCTGACTTCATTTACTTTGTATATATATGTGTGATAGCTAGATCATATGGTAGTTCCATTTTTAGTGTTTTGAGGAACTTCTATACTGTTTTCCATAGTGCCTTACTAATTTACATTCCTACCAACAGTGTATAATGTTTTTTTTTCCATGTTTTTGTCAGCATTTGTTATTTATTTATTTATTGATTGATTGATAATAGCCATTCTAATTTGGGTGAGATGGTGTCTCATTATAGCTTTGGCTTGCATTTCCCTATGACTAATGATATTGAGGATTTTTCCCCATAGAATTATTGGCCATTTGCACTGCTTTTGAGCATGTGTGTTCAGATCTTTTGCCCATTTTTTAACTGGAATAATTGATTTTTGTTGTTAAGGTTTTTGAGTTCTATATTATATATTCTGTATATTATCCCTCTGTCTGGTGAATAGCTGGCAGAACATTTTCTCCCATTTTGTAGGTGGTCTTTTTATTATGTTGATTGTTTATTTTGCTGTCAGAAGAAATTTCACAATAATTTCTTTATTGTCTATACCAATATCTTTTTTCTTTTTTTTTTTTGGTACTAAGGATTGAACTCAGGGGCACGTAACCTCTGAGCCATATTCCCAGCTGTTTTTTGTATTTTATTTAGAGACAGGGTCTCACTGATTTGCTTAGGGCCTCACTACATTGCTGAGGTTGGCTTTGAACTCTCAGTCCTCCTTCCTCAGCCTCCTGAGCTGCTGGGATTACAGGCATGCACCCGGCCTATATCAATATCTATCTTGAAATGATTCCCTTTTATTTTCCTGTAGTTGTTTCAGAGTTTCAAGAGTTACATACAGGTCTTATATTAGAACAACTTTTTTTAAATAGCAATTTTTAGACCAGGTGCAGTGGTGCACAGAGACTTCGGAGTTGAGGCAGGAGGATCTTTCTCAAGTTGGAGTGGAGGTCAGCCTTAACAATTTAGCAAGACCTGTTTAAAACCAAACCAAACCAAAAAAAAAAATCCAAAAAAACTCCATAATTTTTTTTTTCTATATTGTTTTTCCTCTTGCAATTATATTTTCAAGTAAAAGTGTCCTTTGCAATTTTCAATTTTTATAGGAAAGTATTTCTAAAGATATAACACTAGGTGGTAGTAAAAACCCACTCAGAATACAAGATAAAATGTTTTATTCTTAAGCAATAATTTTATCTCTATAGGCTTTTTTATGTGGTAGAATTTAGTTTTATAAGTTATTTTAGAAATTAAATGACACAAATCTTATATATTATACAAATTTGCAGAAATTATATTTTTTACACTTATTTTCACAACAATTTCTTTTCCTTTTCATTAATGTTATTTATCAGCCCCTATCATTTTCTTAGTTATGTTTTTATATTTGTTATAGCCAGAACCAAGGTGAAAATGTCTGGACAAATTGAGATAGGTGTTCTAGCCAGAGTAATCATCTTGATTGCAGTCAATGTAGCAAATGGAATATGTTATTAAATATACATTAGAATGTTTGGGAGGTAGATCAAATTTGAGTTCATTTTAAGAACTTGAATTTTCAGAGAACTATTTGAGTTTTGTTGAGGAAAAAATGTTATTTCAGTTATAAAAGCATTACATGATTACATGATTGTAATAATTCAGGCTAAATAGCATAATATTAGTAAAACTATTTGGCCAAAGATATTATAATGTTCTTTGATATTGTCACACTAGTTCAGAGTAGAGTTGTGGTTGTTGCTTTTTGAGGTATAGCCAACCTTTTTTTTTAATCTCTATGAATAGGTCTCTGTTAAATGACAAAAATCAGTTTGCTATTTAAACCAAAACAGAAAGAAAATTTTTGATTTAATTAAAATCCTATGCATACAAATTTACTGATCACTAAAAATTGCTTTTGTTACCTGTTTCTAAGAGATGAATCATAAGCTCAACTGGTCTTCTTTAGTATCCATATCATACCGGGGTATATAGCTATAATAGGGTTGGTGTACCAAAAAGATCAATTTAAGTGCCTACTCTGTTTGGCAGTTTTGTTTAATCAGATTTGTTAACACTTGTCTAGTGCCTGTTAGTACTTACTTTGGGTCTTAGACAAATCTAATTTAACAAACCACATTTGCTATTTTCATTTTCTACTGAAACATTATGGTCTGCTGAAAATGAGTGGCACATTTAACTGTGTCAGTTTTTAACTTTGCTTAAAATAGATATAAAGTGTGCTACAGCAATGCCAAAACTTTCTTTTTAAAAAATGTATCTTTATTATATTAAGTGGCTGCTTTATCATATACTATTTTTTTATTAAAAAAAAAATTTGTTACCAGGGAATGAATCCAGTGGTGCTTAATCACTGAGCCTCATCCTCAGCCCTTTTTTATTTTGAGTCAGGGTCTCGCTAAGTTGCTTAGGGCCTCGCTAAATTTCTGAGGCTGGCTTTGAACTTGTGATCCTCCTGCCACAGCCTCCCACGCCATTAGGATTACAGGCGTGTACCACTGTATCAGGTTTATCATACATTTAAAAAATATGTTTATTTTTTAGTTGTAGTTGGACACAATACCTTTATTTATTTATTTTTATGTGGTTCTGAGGATCTAACCCAGGATCTCGCACGTGCTTTGTGAGAGCTCTACCACTGAGTCAAAACCCCAGCCCCCTAGCAT